ATTTTTCCTGGGTGGCTTCAGTACAGAGAAAGCCAAGAGAGAAAGGAGGGGGAAAAAGCCCAAAAGAGAAATAAAGAGGTGGGGGTCAGGAGAAAAGGGAGAGAAGAAGAAGAAGAAGGAAGCGTTGGCCTCGGTGGCGCGAATTAGAGCATCACAAATTATGTGGAGGGCTGCGGCGGGGGGGGGGACGGGACTGGGAGGAGGACCTGGGGGCCGTGGTGAGGGTGGAATTATGCGGCCACGAATCTGCCTTGCTAAACCCCAGCGGTCCCCAGGATGCTCGGGTGTCCCGGCAGCACACCCCGGCCCAGCGCAGGGCTCCACAGAGGAGGAGGTGAACCTATACTTGGAGATATATTCATATATACATACATATTCGTATAAATTTATATATATAACTTCTATATGGACAGGCTCGGCTGTTGCCCCTAGAATCTGCAAAGGGCTGCAGTGGTGGTGGTGGTGATTCCTGACTAACTCGCATCTCCCTCCCTCCCTCTCCCCCCGTTTCCAAAGGTTTGGTTCAAGAACCGCAGAGCCAAATGGAGAAAGAGAGAAAGGAACCAGCAAGCCGAGCTTTGCAAAAACGGCTTCGGTCCGCAGTTTAACGGCCTCATGCAGCCCTACGATGACATGTACCCCGGCTACTCGTACAACAACTGGGCAGCCAAGGGCCTCACCTCCGCTTCCCTCTCCACCAAAAGCTTTCCTTTTTTCAACTCCATGAATGTCAACCCTCTGTCTTCTCAGAGCATGTTCTCCCCTCCAAACTCCATATCCTCCATGAGTATGTCCTCAAGCATGGTACCTTCTGCAGTCACCGGGGTGCCCGGCTCCAGCCTCAACAGCCTGAATAACTTGAACAACTTGAGCAATCCCTCCCTGAATTCTGCAGTGCCAACGCCAGCCTGTCCTTATGCTCCTCCAACACCTCCGTATGTTTATAGGGACACGTGTAACTCGAGCTTGGCGAGTCTGAGACTTAAAGCCAAGCAGCACTCCAGTTTTGGCTATGCCAGTGTGCAGAATCCCGCTTCCAACCTGAGCGCTTGCCAGTACGCGGTGGACAGACCCGTGTGAAACATCCAAGTAGGAAACTGCGTGGGAATCCCTCCCCATTTCCCGCAGAGACTGAGAATTTCACTAGAAAGTAATGGGCACTAGAGAGAAAGAGAAAGGAGGAAAAATCAGAGGCAGAGAGGAAGAGAGAGAAAGAGAGAGAGAGAGGAGGAAAAAAAAAAAAAGAGGAAACCACTGAAATAAGATAGTTCCTTTGTTTTCAAAGGACCTCCTACAGATTCGGAGATCTTTCTTTCACTAAGTATTTCAACAGTTACAAGGACATATATATATATATATATATGGACAAATGTTTGACTGGATATGATATGACATTTTAATGTTACTATAAGCTTGTTATTTTTTAAGTTTAGCATTGTTAACATAAAAATGACTGAAAGGATGTATATATATCGAAATGTCAAATTAATTTTATAAAAGCAGTTGTTAGTAATATCACAACAGTGTTTTTAAAAGGTTAGGCTTTAAAATAAAGCATGTTACACAGAAGCGATTAGGATTTTTTCGCTTGCGAGCAAGGGAATGTATATACTAAATGCGACACTGTATGTTTCTAACATATAATTATTAAAAAAAAATTGTGTGAATATCAGTTTTAGAATAGTACCTCTGGTGGATGCAATGATGTTTCTGATATTGCAATGTAAAACATGCCCTGTGTATAACATTTCGTACAATATTATTGTTTTACTTTTCAGCAAACATGAAAAAATGTGTTTTATTTCATGGGAGTAAAATATACAGCATACAGTTCTGTCTGGATTTTTTATTTACTGAGCCAAGCTGCGCAGTAGCAACTAGCCTGCAATGATTGACTGATAGTTGACACTGGATCTCGTTCTCTGGCAACGCGGGGTAGTACTTTTGCAATGCAAATAAATGCTGGCGCTTTTTTTTTTTTTTTTTTTTCCCGCGTTAAAAAAAAAAAAAAAATCCGTCGCTCTAACCTTGCATACTAGAGAAAATGGGACGTGTACCCCTTGGGTCCTTTTATTTCCCCGCACAGCCCCGAGAAAATGGATTATTTGACATCGCTGGACTCGAGAATTACCTGTCACAAAGCTGCTGTATCTCGAGCCTAAATTTGTCCTGCTGTGAAAGAAGCTTTTATTGCATTAAAGAAAAGGGAGTGGGGAAAAAAAAAAAAAAAAAAGTAAAAGCCGGCTTGCAAACAAACTGCTCCCGTTCAAAATAATCGGTCCCCTTTGCCGCCCCGTGCGCTCACCTTCTCTCCCTTCAGCGGGCAGATCCTTCATGTAATATTACATTTCTTTTCCAAATCCCCCTTTCAGACATGAAGAGAAACAAAGAGCAGCCCAAATAACCGCAACCCCGTGGAGCGCGGGGGGTGAGAGGTTAGCCCGAGTTTCCTGCGACTTCGTGCTGCAACACGTCGTTGAAGGGAAAGGTCGTGCTCTCGTGTGTTTTGTTTTAAATAATATTGACCCATTCATTCTCAACCTGCTTGTTCGTGAAATTATACAGGATTATAACTTTGCTATCGCCAGACAATTGAAACAAATCAAGATGAATTGCTGCTCGGCCCTCCCATCGGCTCACACCCCGGGCGGGCGAGGAGGGGCTGCCGAGAGGGTGGGCAGCCGCAGGATCCGGAGGGAATATCGAGACACGAAGAAATTCCGCAGGCGCGTAAACTGGCGAGGGCGCAGGGGACGGCAGGGAGGAAACTCTACGCGGTGAGAGAGAGCTTAATCCTTGAGAGGCCTTTGCGCGCTCGTTGCGCGCCTTTGTGAGGTCGGGAGGAGCGGCCGAGGTAGCCCGGGGGTGGGCGGACACGGCGGAGGGGGTTCCTTCCCCCCCAGCGGTTACACGGGAAGAGGAGCAGAGAAGAGAGGGAGAGGGGAGAGGTCAGCGCCCTGCGCTTTCCCACGAGGAAAATGCTTCCCCCACGCGAAATCAGGGTACCCTTCCGTGGGTCCATTTGCAGCGTGGACAAACTCCAGCCTCCACTTTTTTTCGCCTCTTTTTTTTTTTTTTTTTTCTTTTAACACCCCATATTTTTATTTTCTTTCTCCCCTTTTTTTCTTCCTCATCACATTTTTATTAGATTATTTCTTGTCTCTTTTGTTGTAAGATTGGGGGGTTTTAAATTTATTTTAATATTTTACGCGACTTTCTGTTTTCTTTTCCTCTGTATGTTCTTGTCAGGGGGTCGGTGGAGAGAAAGAACCTCGGTGCTTGGGACGGGGGGGAGGCGGGAGGCCCCCCCTACTTGTCCGGCCTCGCCGCCTCCCCGACCCAACGCCGCTCCCCTCGGTTTTTCCGCACCGTGTCAACACCTCACCCGGGTGAGTGCCAGGGGCTGCCAAAAATGTCCCCCTCCTCCTCCTTCTCTTCCTCTTCCTCACTGGGTTGCGGGCGAAAGGTCTGAGGGTGACGGCGGCGAAGGGCTGGCAGCCCGGGAGCCCCCCTCGGGGATCAGGGGAGCCGGAGAAACGAGAGAGCTTTTCTGCCCGAACCCTCTCGGCGGGACGGGCTTGGAAATCAGCGAGCGGATCGCTGCGGGTATCGGCACGGTATTTTACACGCTTTTTTCTGCTCTCGTTTCTTCTCGGTGGCTTTGGTTATTTATAGTCCTTTTTGTAAATATAAATACATATACATATAAAATATCGGTATATACATATGTAGAATCTGTGCGTGCGTGGCGAAATATTAGATATATAACACATAGTACACGCATGTACATTTAGAAGAATAATATATACCGATTCCGGACCAAAAAAAAAAAAAAAAAAAAAAAAATTGGATCAGAGTTTTTCGCTCTACTGTGTAATGGCTCAAACGATGAAAAATCAACGTGACCGCTCAGAGAGGACATAAATCACTCCGAGAGTAGTCTGAATTTCTTTCTCCCCCTAGCTGAAGCCTTGAGGGTCATCATTTTTCTGCGCCACTTGACCAAAGATATAATGTTTTGATTAGGTCGTAAATCAAAATCTTGGGTCGTGGTGGGGTTTCTTTTCTTTCATTTTTTTTTTCCGGGGGCTTTCCTTCTTCTTATCGGCGGTGGCAGTGTGAACCTGGAACAATGGAGGCCGCCAAGAGGGGGAGAAAAAGCCACAACGAAATGGGGAATTTGAAAAACACCTATTTGCAGAAGTGGGGGGGAGAATGGTTAGACAAGGGGCTCACACCCCCTCGCACCCCCCTCGCCCCTCGGAAAGGCCGATTCAGGCCGCCTGCTGCGCAACCCCCCGCGCCGGGCGTGCGAGCGGGCAGCGCCGTCTGCCTCCCAATCCACATCCCAATCCACATCCCAATCCACAGTCCCGCTGGCCCTCGCAGCCCCCACCACCCCCCGATCGGAGCTGCGGCCGCGGAGCCGGGAGCGCGCCCCTTCCAGCCGGGGCCGGGGGGTGCCCGGGCTCCCTCTGCCCGCGCTGGGGCCCCGAGGCCGTGTCCTGGCCCGGCTCCGTTCTTTTGTTTTCGGACGGTGTCTTCCCGCACTTTGAACCCCGGCGGCGTGCCCGAGTCCCGGGCAGTCATACGGGAGTGCCTCGTCCCGCAAAGGTCAAAATGATGCGCAGATATGGATGTATCTCCTTTTGGTTATTGTCTGCGCTTCCCCTTCTCCTCTCCTTGCTTTGTTTTTAGTACGTGCGAGCTCATCCGCGTGTACTTTCCCAAACCAGCGAGATACCGATCTTTACATACCTGTACAGTTGTTTCTACCTATAAAATAAAAGGTCTTTTTTTTTTTTTTTTTTTTTTTTTTCTTAGACATTCATTAGCATTTTTGGAGGTAAATAACTTCCTTTGGAAAATAGCTGACATCTGAGCCCGGGGAAGAGTTTGTTGTTGAGCTTTTTTCCTTCAATAAAGCATCGTTTCGGGGGCATTTTTTTTCTTTCAGTAATGCTCCGTTTTGGAGCGGGGGCCACGGCGTTTGCAGGTTTTCATCCCGCCTTCTCCCGCCGCCGCGGACGGGGTTGCGGGGGGTGTGCGAGTGGCGTGGCGGGGGGGTCTCCCATGCCGGCTTAAGACAAGAAGGGAGGGCAGGGAACCGGCTCAGGGCACTGGTACTAACACGCTTTTTCGGGACATATAATTTACCTTGCTAAATATCTGCTTTGGTACGCGTATTACATGTGTAGGTCTGGATATTAGGCACCCGATAGAGCGTAACAGTCAATAATCCAGAAACTTGGAAGGATTTACACCTTCGGAGCTCCATACAATGCCGGACTAATTGATTGCTAAATCTGAAGTTTTTAAAATGCGAACCCCTTTTGGAATTAATTTCTCTGGCCTCCTGCACCTACTTCTAAGAGAGGACAAATAAAATAAACTCTAACTTGCAAATTTTATGCTGCAAGGGAATATTTTTGAATTGTTTGGGTTGGGCTCTTTTTTTTTTTTTTTTTTTTTTTTTGGGTGGGGGTTTTTTTTTTTTTTTGGGGTTAAAAAAAAAAAAAAAAAAAAAAAAAAGGGCATTTGAAGACGTTTTTAGGGACCTCGGCCCCACTTGTGCCAGGCAGATCCGCGGGACTGGAGCGGGCAGAACGGAGCCGGTGCTCCGCGCCCCTGCGCAGGGAGCCAGCCCTCTGTCGGTGCTCGACGAACGTCCCTCTGGTCGATCCGTGATTTCGGGGATGAGGGTGGCTTGTTTGGTCGCTTTCTCCCTTGCGGCTGTGACCACCCCCCTCCCGCCCCGAAGTGCAGGGACAGCGCAGGTCGCTCCCCCCTCCGCGGGGCCAGGCGGGGCAGGGCAAACGCTGCCGCAGCCACAGACGGATCCGAGCCGAGCCTGCCTTCTCGGAGGGCGGGCTGTGACGGCGCGGGGGGGCCACCGGCCCGACCCTGGCCCCGCGACCTCGCAGGGCCGCCAGCAGCCCGTGCCCGGCAGCTCTGGCGGCGCAGCCCGGCGGTGGCAGCGTGCGAGCGGGGCCCCACGGGCTGCAGCCCCACGGGAGGGAGGCAGCGTGACCGAGGTGGGGACAGGTTCCGCGGCACCGCTTCGGCAAGAGCCTGGGCCGGACCCCACTCGGGGAGGGGGCGGCTCGGCAGGCCCTGCGCGGCCGCGACTCTTCAATGGCATATATCTGGGAGTTTTGGGAGAGAGGCGCAATTTTCCGGGCTGGAGCTTCCCGTCGGGAGCGGGCTATGGACGCGGCTGATGGCAAACCCAATACCAGGAGAAAAGGAAAGAAAAAAAAAAAAACAAACAAAAACAAAAAAAAAAAAAAAAAAAATAAATTTAAAAAAAAAAAAAAAAAAAAACCCAAGCCACAAACTGCCCAGTAGCCGACCCGGGAGCAGGAGGCCGCGAGTGCCTCGCTCCGGCAGTGACGAAGACCTGAGCACCTTTTGGAGTCAGCCGCCTGCCCGGGCGGCGCGGCACGGCGCTGAGGAAGGAGCTGTGTGAGCCTGTGTGTGTGTGTCTCTGTGTGTGCAAAGAGTGTGCGAGAGTGTGGGAGAGAGCCGGCCCCGGACCAGCGCGGCTCCCCACCAAGCCGGGATGCAGCGGGGAAGCGTCTCAGGTTCACTCCCGCGTGTAATACACGCACGCACACATACACGTGTAATACACACGAGCGTATCTATTGCGCACACGTACATATTTCGCACACCTACACACAGACACATATGCGCACACACACACAGAGTGCTGTGCGGGCTGCGTTCTGCAGCCGCTGCCCGCAGATTAGAGGGATGCTCCAGAGGCTTTGGCAGGGACTGGCCCTGCACAGACCGCGACGGTGAAAACCACGCCTGATCGGAATGGCAGGTCGTGATCGCCATTCAGTCTCTCCCGCAGTTTGACCTTTTTTTTGAGGTTTCATCCCCCAAATCCAGGGGCTGAGGGGCCGTGGCGGGGCCGGGCGCGGAGCGAAGCTGATGGCCGCAGCCCCTTCCCCGGCCGCGGATTTGCGCCCACCGCTAAGCCCGGCCCGCGTTGAACATTAACCGGCTGGAGCGGCCCCGCAGTGTAACAGGCTATGTATAAAAATGAATCATCTCCCAGGTTGTAGTAAAACGTCCTGTAAAGTCCACCTATAAATCCTGGTATGCACTTAGCGCTCTCGGCTTCACGTCTTACCGTTGCTACGCAGTATTTGCCTTTCCTCCTCTCCCCCCTTTTCTCTCCCCCTAAATCCCGCTGGCTGTCTGCGGTCCTAACCCTGGGTCCGCATGCCCTGAGATACAGTCTCATTTCCCCGTGAGGAGAGTGAAGCCCCACAGGGGACCACCGAAGGTCGCAACCGTCGGGGCACTGGGGCCGCCTCGCTCCCTCCAAACTACGGCGAGGAGAAAAAGAAGCTGGACAGGCTCGGCCCTTAACCCTCCAGGGCGGCAGGAGCCCCCATCCCCCGGGGCCAGCCTAGGTGGGGCGGCTCGCAGCTGTCCCTGCTGCTCCCGCCCTTCGAGGGGTCTGTGTCTCTGTGCCTGTGATAAGAAGAGCTACTCATACATTGCAGCAAGGCTCTATAAAACTCAACAAGGCTCCCCCTGCAAATTCGTAACGTATTTTTCTCGGGATTAAAGGGAAAAGAGGGAGACTATCTAATCTGAATGGAGCACAGGACTCAATAGCCTTGGTGGGCAGAGGCAGGCAAGGATCAATGGGTGTGTAGCCATCAATGCAGCCCACAGTTCAAATTCGCAACTGGGATTTATGCAACTGGAAAGGAACCCGAGGAACAAGCCCCCTTGCCTGCTGGGTGTGTATGTGGAGAAGTGGCAGCGCTTGGGAAAACACGAGGGTGGAGCCGAGCTCATCGCTTGATGTGTATATTTAGTGTGGTGGTAGTCCCGCTGCCTCACGGGGGACTACTTCCATGCTGAAAGTTATTCACATGCCTGAGTGATTTGCTGGACTGTGGCCATATGTAAAGCAATAAATATAAGTGGCTACTTCTGTGCAAGTAAGAGATCCAGAGGTCTCACAAGTAATTTTCCAGCAGATCCAGACTTCATAGTTTTTAAAAGTGAAAAAAGTGAAGAGAACTCCTTTGTTTCATTCAATTAAAAAAAAAAAAAACAAAAAACAACCCCACCAACAATTAAGGTCACTGGGACAATAAAAGCATAAAGGAGTATAAAGCCTTTTCTTTATGTAAAACCTTGATGGGCACTTTCAAGACTGCATTATCTGGAGAGGAGCAGGAATCTACAAGCCTGTGCTGATGCAGTTTTCAACCTTCTGAGCCACAAACTCTTGCATCTGCTGAGTTTGTGATGCAGAACTAAGGAGTGAAGGAATTTCTTGCCAGGCTGGGGGACGATGTGTCGGTGTGACTGGGTGCCAGCCCGTTTGGTGTTCCTTTGAAGTCAGCAGAGTCTGAGCTGGCAGTGCTCTGTGCAAGGGCAGTTCCCAAGCAAGCAGAAACTCTCCCTATGGGGTTTGGGGTGGTTGAATTCCCATGATTTCTCCAGGGAAGGTCATGCGTGCTTCCCACTCTTCAGCTGGGATGGGAAGAGCAGTGGAGACTGAGGTGGCTTTTCTGCCCTCTTTCTTCTATATGCAGAGCCAAAGTCTCTGGCATTTCTCAATTTTTTTAGATTTTTTTTTTTTTTCATACAAAGCAAAACAGAGTTTGAGTAAAATAATAGCATCCAGCTTTTGGCAATGCTTCCTATAAATTCATGGCTTTAGCCTGGACTCTCTCATGGCCAGACTGTAAATTTTCACGTTCTAACTCCCTGTGACAAATCTCTAGCCCCAGTCATTGTTATTTCCTTCAGCTTTCACATCCTTCTGGCAAAAACCTCCAACTCTGGCATTCTTTTCCCAAAACAGAAATTCCTACCACAAGGCCCATTACCCTGAGAACATTTTTAATAAACATGTTTGGAAAATGAAAATAAGATACATAAAATATATGAATGCAAGAAACATCAAATGAAAACTTGGAAAGGGTTTCAAGTAGTATTACAAATAGGAAATAGCTTTCCAGAGATAAAAATACTCCATGTGTTTTGTTAACACCAACAGGCAGTTGGGCTTTATTCTCATGGTTTATTTGGAAGCTAAGGGACACCTTTGTCCTACTTGATGAACGTGTAACTGTTGGCTGAGCCAGGAGGTCAGAGACTTTAGCTTGTAATCAGTGGGTGACCGGCAACATCCTTGACAAATAATGTTGGCATGACACGATCAGGGCGACAGCCATTCTCACATGTCAACAGCTATAGCTCAGTAAGTTAAGGACTTGGGGAGGGATGTTTCATAGCACAGGTCATTTTTTTAAATCCTGGATCATGCACCTGAGATGCTGTTTTAAACTTCACCCCCTGATGCAGACCAGAAATACTGGTGCCTACTGACAGGGGTGGTTTTGTTTTATTTTGGTTTGGGTTGTTTTTTTTTTTTTTTTTTCACAACAAATAGGGATATTAATTACCTCTAAGAGTGGTATCATTGCTCATTAATGACAGTTGTAGGTTCTCAGGAACTTAGGGGGTGTTTCCTTTGAATTATCTAGAGCACAGGACATGTTGCATTTTTCTGTCTTCTGAACTGAAAGGCTTCTGAAACTGGAGCACAGCTCTAACAATTCTTTCCAGGACAATGAAGTACTTAATTCTTGTGATGGCCAGGCATTGCTATTTGAGACCACTCATATTCCCTCTGGTAGAGCTGGCAGCTCTGGGGACATAAATAACACAGTTTGGGGACCCAAGCAAGCATTGTTTACATGGAAATATTATGGACCTAGACCGGTCAGTGTAGTGTTCCCCTCCTTGTGCTGGAAGGAGCAGAAGCTGTGACGTGCTTGTTGATCCAATGCATGCATATACATAAATGCCATCGGCTTCCAATGGCATTTGAACAGGATGAGAACGACTCGACCCATACTGGAAGACAGCAGGAATGGAGCATGTGCCCACAGAACATGCTGAATCAGGACCAGGCTCCAAGGCTGGAGAGGAAGAACTGCAAACAGGTTTCCTTTTTATGGCCTTAGACAGGCTCATCTAATCTTGCATGGCTGGGCAAGAAGAATAACTGGAGGTTCTATAGTGCCTAGAACAAAAAAATTCCCAACCAGAAAATACTTAATCTCTGGCCAGAGAAATCAATCAGCTATTTGGTATGTCTTATGTTTAAGGAAATAAAGGAATTTAAAATGGAGAAAACCCTCTAAAGGAACCATGTGAAGGCTTTTCATGGGGAAAGGAAGAGACCATGCCGTCCAGGCTGTGAAGACCATGCTGACCCTCTCTGGAGTTTGCAGGCATGAGCACACACCATGCAGATGCATGTTAGAAACATGCTGCATTAGAAGTCACAGAGTGGTTCATTTACTTCTCTCTTCTGTCTGGAGAAATGAAGCCAAAGAATGAATAAGAAGAAAAGATGAAACAGCTTGAGAAGAGGAAAAGAGAACTTATTTCTGGTTCCTGTGAGATGACTTGTGCAGTGACTGTCACAAGAATAACCTCAATTGAATACAATGCCACCGAAACCAATGTGCTGTCATTAAGACAAATCTGTATGCTCTCTAGATCAGCTCAGGGGTGGTATGTTACAAGAGTGATAATTCTGAATGTAATTCATTGGTGATATAACCAGGCAATTTTGTTTTACTGATTTATTTTAGTGGCACATTTTCACTTTCTTAAAAGAAATCTAATTGAATTTCCCACAGAGGGAAAATGGGACTGCTAAATTGGTAGTCTTAATGTAGATTCTATAAAGGTAATGAAGATACTCAGAATTTATTCCTTGTTATTCTTCATGGCCTCTGATAAATTTCACTGGAAAATCTAGTTTACATGTATATACCAGCAGAGTGTGTGGAGTGTTGTGGGCAGAATGCCCATCCTGATTACCCCAGAGGATTAGGAATGTCAGGCTGTTACAAAGGAAAAAGCAGAGCCTAGAACATGCCTCAAGAAATAATGCTCCAGTCCTGTCCTGCCATGCTTTTCAACTGCAGAGTGCTTGAGAAAGTATCTGCTTGAGGATTTGTTCTCAGTGTGCTGAGGTCTCCCAGAGGTACAAATAAAAGCCTGCCACTGTCCATTAGGAGATGTGTGATTTGGGGCTAGAAATATGGACTTCAGCCAAATCAGTGAAAAGTATAAAATCACAAAAAGCAGTTCTTGATATCTTGGCAAGAAACCCAAGACAATATCCGACACTCATCTACACACAATGCTACAGCCCCGCACTGCTGAACTCCTAAAGGCGTGACATCAGATATGCAACCCTGGCTCCGTGGCCTCTGTGATTAAACTGCTGCCATGCAATCTGGCGTAGTAACTGGTGTTGGACACACAGTACCCCAAGGGGCTCTTGATGTTTTAGACTGTAGCCAAGAGTTGCTGTTGACTGGAGGCACAGTAGTAACCCCTCTTTCAGCTGCTTCCCACTCTCCCATATTCCCCTGTGAAGTGTTTATGGATGGGACGTCTCCATCTTATGGAAGTGAACTCTTCTTACAGACTCCCTCTGTGAGCAAACAGTAAAACCCCAAGGGAGCTGGTAGCTGAGGCCCCAGCACCAAGAGGGTGAGACAATTGCTAGATACTATGGGAGTGCAGAATGACCCTATCTTTTGCCTTCAGCGAAGAGGGTCTGACAGACACACCCTGTCTCCTGGACCCTTTTACACAGAGGGTCCTTGGCCATGGTGTTACTGGCCCATCCTAAAATTTGGCAGGTTTTGAAGCTGAGCATAACTAACCAGGTTGCAAATAGGCTGTACAAATGCTGAACTCAGTGAAATGCAGGACACAAGCACTGGTTCATGTTTCAGGCACATGGACAAGGTCAAGCTACTAAGATGGTATTTAAACTGAAGGATCAGGAATGCTTCAAGACCTTCAAATCCAAGCGCATATTCTGGTCATCTAGACTGGTGTAATGCTTTAAGCAGTCAAAAATATGTTGAATAAGCCTGTGTATTTAACTACAGGAAGGAAACCAGGCACACAAGCAAGCTTAGAGGGAATTACAGTGTGTTCTCATCAGGTCCTTGGTGTGTACCAAAGGAGATGGGCACCTGGAAGGTCCTGTGTAGTTCATATGCCATGCAGACATTCTTTTCCAGCTGCCCTTCGAGCAACAATTGCCTAACTAGAGCAATAATTGTCTCCCATGTGGTGTAAAGATAGTGCATTGGTGTTCATGAAATGCCCAGTTAACTTGGTAAGGAAGAGCATTTCAGCATATGGCCAACAAATTAAATCCCTAATTTCTATCTAGAAATGGGTACTTCTTATGCATAATGCACACTTTCTTTTTTATGGATTTTTTAAAACAATATTTTTAATTTTTGTTGTTGTTGTT